GGAGATCTGGTGATGACTTTTGCGCAAAATGAAGAATATTGTGTCCATTAGTTCCACCAAACGTGACATCAGAAGAATCCATCCCAAGAATATTGATTCCCTGTTTCTCTCATCTGTATTAATGGTTACAAAAAAATATTTAAAAAATCACAAATTATTATTTGCATGATAAATTAGCATGCTAGTTATTTAATACATTGTATACAGTAAAATGTACGTAAAATTAATTAGTAGAAATGATAATCAAGGTCATAATATATATTATATAATACCTGATATGGGATGTTTGGGACACATCCAGGTGTCGATACCGTAATTAGTGATCGATAAAATCTTGGTAAAAAACCACAAATTAAACAAAGACATTAATAGATTATAATGTCTGATAAGTTGTGTCAACTCAAACGCGGGCCTGTTTTTCATAAGCCGTGGGCCCAACACTTTGCAAACATATAAATAAAAGCCGATTATACATAAGAAATTCCAGGGCCCGGACCTCATCAATGGATATCTAGATGACTGTGTATTTCCATTAATTTGCCAGAAGTTTATATAAATGTAATTTATTAACGAAGAGTTATTATCCATTGCTTACACACAAATTTTAATACAACTTTTATCGTAAACTTTTTCCAAATGATAACAAGTTTTATGAGTATAAAAATTTAGTTAACATTGAAAAAAAAATTTAAAATTACTTATTAGTAATTTCTAACAGTCAAGGAGTAGTCGTTTCTAACATGTATTTTGTCAGAAGTATTTATAAATTGCAATTTTTATGGGAAAACAATGAAATTTCCCATTTACTAAACGCATACAAGTAGTGATTTTACTCAATAAGGGTTTAAAAATGTCCAAAACTATTATTAATTTCAATACAAAACATGTTTTTCACGCATAATTTCCCCAAAAAATAACTCAAAATAAGTTATAAAAACATGTCATGTTTTAAAACAATAAAACTTTATTAATCAAATTAATAACATAATTGCATAAGTGAAATGAAATAGTACAATTTAAACCGCCTAGCACCAAATTATCAACCATGATTTAATTAACGATGGGATGCGCTTCGACGGCAATGCTCTCAATACCGCACTCGTTATTACCCCGACTAATCTTAAAGTAGCCGTTATCACCCCAAGTGGGGCCCCAACTATTCTTAACGATCCAATACTTGTGGCCATTTTCCACACCATAACCGACGGCCAGCACCGCGTGGTCTAACTCATAGAAAGGGTTGAACTCGCCATTTGCCTCTTCATGACTGACTTTGGTGTGGCTATAGATACCAGTCTTGTAAGACCTGAAATCTGACTGCACTTTGAAGGACACGGCCAGCGGTCCGTCCCTATAGAGCGCCAAACGCATCAACTCCTCATTGCAGGCGCCGTAATAGCCGCCCACGTAGTTGTAGTCACGGGTGTAATAACGCGGGGCATTGGCTTTGGTTTTGCATGTGGTCACCAGTGGGGGTACGTATGGGTTGTTCTCCTCAGTGGTCAGACCGAAGTCCTGTCCGTATTTGCCCTGAAATATATGTGCGTTTGTATTCAAATTGTATGATTGATACGATATGTGAGGGCAAACATACGGCCACGAGGTATGGGAAGCCTCCCTGACATCCCTGGTCGTAGAAGGAGCACGAGTTGGCGTCCTGTGCCGACAGCACCGGCTTTAATGTGTTGTTTGTCTGCACCGCGAGTCTGGTCTCAATCATACCGACGGATGAGAAGGCGTAACAACTGCCACAATTGCCTACACGTGGTCATTGCAAAGTCATTATTTAAGGTATATTGATTATAAATAAAGTATATAATATTTGTATTTAATTACCTTGATTTCTAACAGGTGTGACATAATTGACCCCGTTCACGTTACGCCAGTCAAAGTTCTCGGGTAACTCTTTGGCCTGAGCGGCCACATCGGCTGTGACGGGTGCGGGCGATGGGCGGCTATAATAATAGATTCATTTAATTAAATAATTTTCTACAAATTTTTAAAACAATACGATTGACAATTAAATCAATAATAAAATACTTACTTAAAAACACGAGAGTTGGGTCCGCCACTCATCAGATACATATCGTAGGCAGACTTGCCCTCAAACTCCGGGTAATGTCCGGCTGTCCACAGGCTTTGGGCCGAATTGATCTCATCGATGGCTTCGGAGCGCTGGACGAAAGGCCCGCTAAACGCCTCCTCCACGACCTCCTTATAGTGTACTTTCTCGGCGTTGTTGCCCTGCCTTTGGCCCGTATAACAGGCCCAGTTGTGGCCCAACACGTCGTGAGACCAACCGGGTTTGGTTTTGCCGCAAATAGAGGTCACTTTATCGCCTTCTACTTTGTAGTCGGAAAACGCGAAATATTTCCTGTCGTTGACTATCACTTCGAAGCCCTGGTTGTAGATTAAAGTCCACGTGCCTATTGTATTGGTATAATTGATCCTGGTATTAGTTATCAGTGAATGAATAATTAACCCTCAAAACAGTTGTTGTGTTTTTTTTATTTCACATATTCTCTGATAAGTTATCAATTAAGTTATCAAGTCTTGTGCCATTAGTGTTTACCCCCTTTAGTGCCCCCAATCCGTTACTATCCCCTTAATTTAAAATCATAAGTTAGACAAAATAGTGTTAAATAAAGTCCATTATTGTCGACTTACTATTATTATCCCCACTTTTCGAAAAACTTTAGTACATTTAGTACATTTAGTAAACTTTAGTACTTTGGTTAGTACAGTATAAGATAATTATTAAAAAATATATCAATATTATTAAAGTTGTCTTAATATCCATACATTATATTAAATTTGTAATTAATTTGATTAATAAAATGCATACCTTTATTGCCGTTGTGGTCGACAGCGGTGTTTGGATATTGCAATTCAATCCTAACTTTGTTGACCAGAGGCTGAGATCCATCGCATTTCTCCAACCGGTCGACAACACGTCGTGAGACCAACCGGGTTTGGTTTTGCCGCAAATAGAGGTCACTTTATTGCCCTCAACTTTGTAGTCGGAAAACGCAAAATATTTCCTGTCGTTGACTATCACTTCAAAGCCCTGGTTGTAGATCAAAGTCCACGTGCCTATTGTATGGGTATAATTGATCATGGTATTAGTTATCAGTGAATGAATAATTAACCCTCAAAACAGTTGTTGTGTTTTTTACTTTCACATATTTTCTGATAAGTTATCAATTAGAAAGTCTTGTGCCGTTAGTGTTTACCCCCATTAGTGCCCCCAATTCGTTACTATCCCCTTAGTTTGAAATCATAAATTAGACAAAATAGTGTTAAATTAAGTCCATTAGTGTCAACTTTCCATTATTAATAATAATTAATTAAATTTAATTTTAATAATTTATTATCCCCACTTTTCAAAAATATTACGTGTATACACTAACGGCACTGAACTTTATTACATTTTTTATGCAGTAAAGTAAAATTTAGTACAGTATAAGTGAAATTATTAAAAAATATATCAATATTATTGAAATTGTCTTAATATTCACACATTATATAATATCACTTATATTATTAATTTGATTAATAAAATGCATACCTTTATTGCCGTTGTGGTCGACAGCGGTGTTTGGATATTGCAATTCAATCCTAACTTTGTTGACCAGAGGCTGAGATCCATCGCATTTCTCCAACCGGTCGGCCGATCGCTGGGACTCCGAGAACTCCCAAACGCCGCGAATCTCCTCATATGAACAGTTGGCCGGTGTGTCCGCCCGGAGCCGACCCACACATACCACCACAACTAAGAGTGACAAACAACTGCTTGTAGTAAACATTTCTACCACTTATGCCAACTAATCAAGTAATTAACTCCTTATATAAGTTATTAGCGATTGAATTGTCACATGAGTTGATTATAGGCACAAATAAGGCAAATATTTTCGCCCGAAACGATTCCCTCGTGAATAATAACACATGTGTTTGAAATTGTGGACTCATTTTGACGTTTGTATTGTTAATGAATTACGGTAAAGTATAATAATTCATTAGTGATCAAGCACATTTATATCTCCATTCATCTTTCATTTCACAATCTTAAATAAAAATAGGGGAGGGGTAGCCGAACGATCCTATAAACCACATTTATATCTGAATGGTGGTTAAAAATAACCAATGCATTAATTTATCATATCATTAAATAAATGTTTTACTGCTTAAGTTTGTCTGTATTCCACTTAACTATTCTTACTGTATAATAATTACTAATTATAGGTTTAATTAAATTAAAATGTTTTAAGTATTATTAATACTGTATTAATACTAATTATAAATATTCTGTACACATTATAAACATCTATGTAAATCACATTCAACATTAATTAGTTGCAACTATCCTAGAATAATAATAAAAATGGTATTATTTATTGTACAATAATTATTGACACTTGTATTTCTGCTCTACAATATAAACAATATCTCAATTTTAGCACATTTAGCCAAAGATTTTTGTAGTAATACAGTATTACAAAATATATTGTAATACAAAATAAGGTTAAGAATCTGATGAGAATCTTAACCAAAATACTAAATAAAAATAGTTTTCTCTAAAAAATATATTTAATAAAGTTGTCGTAAAACTTGAAAAACTATTAAAATAATTTTAACTTTTAATCGATTGAAAATCAATGTTAAGATTATATAATTTAATAACAAATTATTCGCATATTTTAAGCCATACACACATATTGAGCACAAAAAATATTATATAGTTTTTATCTAAAGATTTTATTATATGAGGAAAGTTGTCGTTTCACTTCATCGTCGTCTTTATTGGCAAAATTTGAGTGTTTTATTAATTAAAAAAATAAAATTTCATTTCAGAAACCAATTTCAATGAAATTTGAGTGAAATAAATGTTGAAAGCATTGAAAAACTTATTAAATAATAGCAATAATCATAACAATAAGTGTTTACCGAAAACGTCGAAAATGGCCAATAGTTTGGACTTTAAGGGCAAAGTAGCCGTCATTACGGGCGCCAGTAGTGGTATCGGTGAAGGCGTTGCCAAATATTTGGCCGAATTGGGCGCTCAAGTGGTCATCACTGGCCGTAACGCCGATAATCTAAACCGTGTGGCGAAAGTGTGTCAAACAATTTCACCAAAAGCTTTAAAGGTTTACCACAAATGTGTTGCCATTAATTCATTTAATTAAGACATTTTTAAGTCGATAAAAATAACTTTAATTATAATTTGTATGAAATTACTTCCAACGATAGGCACTGGAAGTGGTGGCCGACATCACCAGAGAAGAGGACGCCCGACGTCTGGTCGACGAGACGATCGCCGCCTTCGCACGCATTGATGTACTGGTGAACAACGCGGGCCAGTCGTGGCCGACGTCCATATTTGATCCCAAAGTGGTTCAAAACTTTGACAATGTTATGGATCTGGACCTGCGGTCAGTCGTCTATTTGACCTCATTATTTGTCCCTCATTTGGAAAAGTCTTCGGGAAATATCATTAATATGTCGAGTATTGTGTCCG